GTTATTTTGCCTACCATACCAAGGAAATATGGAAGATTTTGACAGCTAACCCAGCTTAGGGGCCAGGAAACACTTCCAGGAACAGATCAACTGAGTCTTACATTGGTTGAAATGTGGAAGGTGGTTGCTGGTTGGATATCAAGCGAGGGGAAAGTATTTGAGTTAAGAGGAATTGTATGAGTATACATGAAGTGTGAGAAAGAATAGCTTTTAAATTTTATTTTTACATTTTTAACAGCCAGAAGTTAGTCAAAATTTTGAGTATGAGATGGTGGAATGGAGAGAGAGAGGAATGGACAGAAAGATTTGGTTATAGTAGGACTATATGTTAAGAGTTTTGGTTTAGCATGACATGAAGGATTTGAACCTGGGTAGTGACTTGATTAGATTTTACTTTATGTTGATCATTTTCAGGGGTCTGGAGAAGGATGAGGCTGGAGGTAAAGAGATGGAAAAGGCTATTACTTTAGTTCAGATATCTTTATATATAGGGTGGCCATAAAGTTCATGTGCAATTTAAATTAGTTTTACATTGTAAATTGCACGCGAACTTTATGGGCACCCTCTGTAATTCAGTTGACTGTGTTTTTGGCTTAGGTGACTGAGTCGTATCATACCATCTGAGAGAGGAAAATACAGAAAGGTTTGAGAGATGTTGGAAATAATACTTTCCCCTTCACATTTTTCACACACACACGAAGGAGGAACTTCGTAATGAGTCAACCTAAGTTCTTAATTTTCTTCTCTAAAAGTAGCCATTTACCATTAGTAAGTAAGCAAAACAGTTTAGGTTGAACTGTTAGATTTTCCATTCCTGAAAGCAAGCTTTTTCCCCCTGGGTATCCTCTCTACATTTACATAATGTGGACTGGCCACATATTTTGCCTTTTCCTGCCTGTGGCTTTCAGTTCTCCTAAATGATTTAAGATATCAGGGCCCTGTAGGAGTAGAAGCGTATTCTAGTTTACTTTCTTCTCCTTCATTGTGCTGTGGTGATGGAGCCAGCTTCTGGCTTGCCAAATAGTCCATTATTCAATTTAATGGACAGTATAATCTTGGCCACAGAAGGAACTTGTTACTTGAAGATATTTAAAAAGAAAATCAGGGAGATGGTTGCTGATTGAGATTGGAATTTACATGTAGACCTGGCATTTTTTCCTTGTGGTTATGCAACATTTTAATGTATTGAGTAGCTAGGAATTCCAGCTGTTTTATTAAAGACTTATCTGTGGTTGGTGCAGCAGCTAAAAGGAAGCATATATGCCTATAACACATGTACCCAAATATTTTCTGTTTACTAGCTGAATTAAAGTTCTTACATACCATGCTGAAACTATAAAATGTTTAAATGGTGATTTTACCTTTTCACTAGGAAAACTGTGCAATAGTGGGAATAATTATGATTTGAATTTAAAGCTTTGCATTCCTATAAATAGATTTGGGGTTATAATTTAATGCTTCTAATTGAGATATGGGCTGCAGTCTACTCAGAGTAAGTAATGTAATTGCTATGACGTTCTAAGTAAATTTACACAACTTTTTGGGTATAGGAAGAGAATGGTGTTCATCAGGGAATGGTTTGAATTCACAATTTCACTGTAAATACTTTGAAAAAGCCACTATATAGATTAATTAATGACCATATGTTTGGAGTGTGTGGGAAAATGCAACTTACATTGATGGGATTCTTTTGACTTTAGGAAGAATTAAATATTAGAGCATATAGAACAAGGGTCTTAATGAAAACCTTGTTTGCTCAATAACCACAGTCTATAAGAATTTAAATATTATAGTATAGTTAATTTATAACTATCTGATAGTTTAGAAATATGTTAATTAAAACAGCTTTGTCCATAAAATGTTGCAAAATCTGCAAATGATTTCATTAGAAGTACTATAAAAAAGCATATGGAAGAGGGTAATGAGTAGGAAGGAAATATTTATTAGCCTTTTGTTCTGCATTATGCCAGCTCCTCCTGCAAAGTCATTATTTTCTAGGTCATGCCTTATATTTCCAAGATTATTATTTTAATAACCTGTGAAATTTTCTGTTGCAGATTTTTTTTTTTTTTTTTTTTTGAGACAGAGCCTCAAGCTGTCCCCCTGGGCAGAGTGCCGTGGCATTACAGCTCACAGCAACCTCCAACTCCTGGGCTCAAGCGAGTCTCCTGCCTCCGCCTCCCAAGTAGCTGGGACTACAGGCGCCCGCCACAACGCCCGGCTATTTTTTGGTTGCAGCCATCATTGTTGTTTGGCGGGTCCGGGCTGGGGATTCGAACCCGCCACCTTAGGTGTACGTGGCTGGCGCCTTAGCTGGTTGAGCTATAGGCACAGAGCCTGTTGCAGATATTATTAAGGCAAATACTTCCACCAAGAATAAGAAATTGGCCAAGTGCAGTGGGTCACACCTGTAATCCTAGCACTTTGGGAGTCAGACATGGGTGGATTGCTTGAGGTCAGGAGTTCGAGACCAGCCTGAGAAAGAGAGACACACACACACACACCCCGCCCCCGCCATCTCTACTAAAAATGGAAAAACTAGCCAGGCATTGTGGTGCACACCTGCAGTCCCAGCAACTTGGGAGACGGAGGCTAGAGGATCTTTTGGGCCTAAGTGTTTGAGGTTGCTGTGAGCTATGATGCCATAGCATTCTACCCAGGGTAACAGAGTAAGACTGTCTCAAAATTGAAAAAAAGAAAGAAAAAGAAAAGAAATCCCCTTTACCCCTAGAGAGTTATAGTTGCTCTAAAACTTTCCAGAAAAAAAGCAATTAAAGTTATTATATTTCATTTCTTGAAGTTCATATTAATTGGAATAAAATTAAGAGAAAGTTGGAAATTTCAAGTACTCTTTGTGTAGCTCTTTTTCTTTTTTCTTCAATAGGAAAAGTATGACAAGATTAATTTTCTTGACTTAATATATTAAACCCAACTTTAGCTTTTTTTTTTTAATTAAATCATAGCTGTGTACATTAATACAATCATGGGGTACAATGTGCTGGTTTTATATATCGTTTGAAATATTTTCATCAAACTGCCAACCTTAGCTTTTAATTAACATTACTAATTTATGGTAAAATCAGGGCTTACCAGGGTCTCTGCAGCTCAAATATGAGCTTTTTTATTCCTTGATGGACTTTATATATTGCTAACTACAAAATATGCAATAGAAGACCTATGTATGTTTATTCATTACATTTAGAGTATTGAGGTTAAATTGCAATCTGTAGCTTAGAACTACTTAGACTACTAGAACCCTTGAGCATTTCTCAATTTTACCTTTAAATAATTTAAAAAGCTATCTTTTCTACTCTTAGGAAATTATAAAATCTTATGGTTAGGGATATGGAAACTGAACATTTAAAGTCGTAGCCCATTTCCTGGTACTCCTAAGGTACCATATAGCCTTCTTCTGGTCCTGTGTTTCTGTTACTTGTTGATTACTTTAATATAATTGAAAGGCAAGTTGTTTCTACCCTTATGGTTCTTCAAATGAACTATGTATTAACAGCTATTTCTTATGATTAAATAATCCTCATTAGATACTTTCCCAAAGACCAGTAGGTGTGAAAATGATACTCAGTAAAGATTGTTCTTGTGGCAGGAACTCTGCTACAGGATCTAGCTTTGATTTTGTATCTTTAGATTTTTTAAAGATCAGTTTTATTGAGGTATAATTTATCATGTAATTCAACCTCTTTTAAGTATACAAGTAATAAGTTTGACAAATATATGCATCCTTGCAACCACTACCACAATCAAATTAATAGAGCATTTTCGTCACCCCAAAAGTTCCCTTGTGCCACTTTGCAAAATTATCATCGACTTGCTTTTTGTCATTACAGATTAGTTTTGGATTCTACATATAAAAAGTATTAATGTACTTTAAACTACTGAATTTATTATTTTATGCCTTTTTACTATTTTAATGGATTATTTTGGTGTAGGAAGTTAGAGGTTTCCAAATTAAGAGTTTCCGCTCTGCTCTCTGTAATGATCCTCTGATTTCTGAAGTTGCCTAGGAAGGGTATTACCTGCTATAACAGTTAAGAAAATTGAAACATAGATATTAAACAGGATCAGAGATTGCATAGGATGATGTGAATTCTTGCTTGTTAAAAAAGGAACTCAACAGCTGGGCCTGGTGGCTCACACTTATAATCTTATCACTTTGGGAGGCCTAGGTGGGAAGATGAAATCAGCTTGGGGCAACATAGTGGCCCATCTCTCCAAAAAAATTTTTTAATTAGCTAGATGGGTAGCCTGTGTTTGTAGTCCCAGCTCCTTAATAGGTGGAGGTGAGAGAATTACTTGAGCCCAGGAATTTGGGGCTACAGTGAGCTATGATCATGCCGCTGCCCTCCAGCAGTAGGTAACACAGTGAGACCTTGTTGCTTTTAAAAAAAAAAAAAAAGGAGCTTAGCTGGCAGTTATGAGGGGAATGAAAATATTTCAATTTGACTGTAATTGGGGGTTTTAGTATCAGATTGGCTTATATAGTTCTTTTTTATTTCAGGTTATTGTGAGGGCACAGATTTTGAATTTGTTAGGTAGCGTCCCTTTTGTAGTTGTGTCCTGCACCCAAAAGGTGTGCCCCACATCCCCACCTTGTGCCCTTTCAGTAGGAGTACACCAATCCCCCCTCCTCTCCCCTTTCTCACTCCTGCTCCCCCCCAACTTGTACAGAATTAAGTTTTTCTGCTATGTGGTCATGTGTTAGATCAGTGATTCTCAACCTGTGGGTCACGACTCCTTTGGGGGTTGAACAACCCTTTCACAGGGGTCTCCTAAATATATCCTGCATATTAGATATTTACATTATGATTCATATCAGTAGCAAAATTACAGTTATGAAGTAGCAACAAAAATAATTTTATGGTTGGGGGTCACCACAACATGAGGAACTGTACTAAAGGGTCACAGCATTAGGAAAGTTGAGAACCACTGTGTTAGGTCATCTATTACGGGCTTCTTAATAAAATTGAGTACATTAGATACTTAAAAATATGGAACAATTCATAAATTTGTGTGTCATCCTTGCGCAGGGGCTGTGCTAATCTTTGTATTGTTCCAATTTTAGTGTATGTTCTGCCAAAGCAAGCACAGTATCAGTTTCTTATTATTATTTTATTTTTAATTTTTTTAAGTCCAAGTCTCACTATGTTGCCCCCAGGCTACAGTGCCAGGACATCAGCCTAGCTCAAAGCAACTTCAAACTCTGGATTCAAGTGATCCTCCTGCCTCAGCCTCCCAGTGGGACTACAGGGAGGCTGAGACAAGAGGATCACTTGAATTCAGAAAACTATTTTTTAAGTAGAGACAGGATCTTGGTCTTGCTCAGGCTGGTCTCAAACTCCTGTGCTCAAAGGCTCTTCCCAGCTTGGGCTCCCATAGTGCTAGGATTACAGGTGTAAGCCGTGGTTTCCAGCCTGTATCAGCTCTTCTATCTCTGGTATATTAGGTTCTGATGAATTTATAAAGGATGGAGATTAAGGGTTTAAGATTCGTGTTTTGTGCTGAATCTGTCTTTTCGTCGTCGTCTTTTTTTTTTTTTTTTTTTTGGTTTTGTTTTGGAAAGTGACTTTGGTCAAAAGGTTTAGTCACTTAAGCTTTATGAAGTTTAGTTTTCTGACCTATACAATGAAATAAAAATTCAGAGTTCTTATAGGATTGAAGGAGACTGCATGACTGAACAGAAGTTTGCTTAATTTGAGGAGAGATTGTACTGATTGATTCATCTTTATCTCATTAGCTTCTTTTAATTTAGGCAGATGTCAGATGATCAGATCAACTTGAAAATAGTATCTAAGGGAACACAGAAAATGTCAAGATTCTTAAAATGACTTGTACTATTTATTAGGGTGAATAGTTTCCGGGGGGGGAAGATAATTATGAAATAAAGAGCAGTTATTTAAAAAAATGAGTTTGTAATTTGTTTTTTTAAAATTGCGTTAATTTGTGCATAAAATAAAATTACCATAGGATTTTTCTTAAATTTTATCTCTGGAGTCCCTGGAATACTCTTAGGTGAAACTACTTGGCTATGAAGTCATTTTGGTATTTTAAGAATTAACTGCTTTTTCCAGGTTATGAGATAGTCATGTCTCCTTTAAAAATCTGCTTTATAATTGGTAATAATAAGGCTGAAGAACTTCTATACATAGCTTCTGGTAATTCATTTTTTGTTTTAAAAACTTTTAAATTCACTCAGTGAATTGGGATTTAATATTTATGTTAGAAGTCCAGTGAATTAGAATTGGGCAAATCAGTCTTAAACACCATACTAAGTGGTGAAGATATCAAATCCCTTTTGTATTAATAATATTGTGTATCTAGACCAGGGGTCCTCAAACTTTTTAAACAGGAGCCCAGTTCACTGTCCCTCAGACCGTTGGAGGGCCGGACTGCGGGTCCCGGGACGAGTCGGCTCCAAAGCAGGACAGGCAGTGGCAGCAAAACACCCAGTGGGCCGGATGAATGAATGTCCTAGGCAGGCTGCAGGCGGCCTGCAGGCCGTACTTTGAGGACGCCTAATCTGGACAGTGGTTGTAATAAGGCTCAGAATGTTGTGTGGAGCTAAGTCAATTTCAGCCTCTTAAATGGTAAGTTTAGTTCACCATTGTTGATTGTTATTACTAACATACTATACTATATTTTATTGCCTCTAAATACTATTAGGCCGGGCAAGGTGAGTTACATCTGTAATCCCAGCATTTTGGGAGACTAAGTAGGGATGATTGCTTGAGGCTTTGAGACCAGCTTGGGCAATGAGATCAGTTACTTGGGAGGCTGAGGTGAGAGGACTACTTGAGTCCAGGAATTTGAGTCTGTAGCAGGCTATGATTGTGCCACTGCATTATAGCCAGGACCACAGAGCAAGACTCTGTCTCTAAACTAAAAAAAAAAAAATAGCATTCTTAGACACAGAAAGTGGAATACAGAAGTGAAATGAGTTGCTTAAGGTAACCCTAGAACTTCATAGTCAGAGCCAAGGTCTTAGGAATATTTTTTTTTTGAACCCACAGTTGTGGATATCCATGTTTTTCTCCACAGTGTCATCTTGTGCTTTTAGAAAATGCATCACTATTGTGTCTTCCAAGAGAGTTTTCTTCCAGGTTGCTGACATATGTTCTGTACTTTTTGATGCTGGCACATTCTTGATGTTAGTGTCAATGGAATGTCAAAATCACAAATAGCGCTTATATTTCTTCCAAAAATGAACATTAAGTGGATTGTTGAAAGAAATGAAAAGGTTGCAGTTGACCAGTTATGCCATGAAGAATAAAACTAAGTTCTTGTTTGCCCAGGCAGTGACAACTGTGTCACAATTGCTGCTTTGCTGTCAGAAATTCCATTGAAGGGAGATGCACCTTAATTTTATAGATGTTAAAATGTGGGAGAAAAAGGTCTCAAGATTGATGAAATATATCATTTTTATTTTTTAATAATGGATTCTTTCTTTCCTTCTTTCTCTCTTTCTTTTTTTCTTTTCTTTTCTTTCCTTTTTAGATGTGGTCTCGAATTATTGTCAGGCTGGTCTTGAATTCCCAGTGATCCTCCTGCTTCAGCCTCCCAAATAGCTGGGACTACCAGAATATGCCACTGCAACCAGCTCTAGTAGTATATTGGTTATAGCAGCTTTACTAAAATATATGAGATAATTACCAACCATATAATTCACCCATTTAAAATGTATAAGTCAATGGTTTTGAGTATATTCACAGAGTTGTACAACCATCACCACAATCAATTATAGAACATTTTCATTACCCCCCAAAGAAACCTCATACCCAGCAGTCACTTCCCATTCCCCCCCAGTCCTCCTATCCCTAGACACCACTAATCTGATTTTTGTCTCTATGGATTTACCTACTCTGGACATTTCTGTAATAGAATCAGATATTGTGTGGAAGATTAGGTTATTGATTAGCAATATGCTTTAATATAGGTATTTGCAAGTATAATTTCCACTTGTGCACCACTCTGGCTGCATTCCATAAAGTTTGTTATGTTGTATCTTCAATTTCATTCATCTTGGAGTGTTTTCTTTTTCCCATGTGATTTTTACTTTGCTCCACTGGTTATTAAGAGTGTATTGTTTAATTTCCATATGTTGGTGAACTTTCCAAATTTCCTTCTGTTAGTGATTTTTAATTTGATTCTGTTGTGATCAGAGAGCATATATACTTCCTATGATTTCATTTCTTTTAAATTTATTGAGGCTTGTTTTATGACCTAGCATGTGACATCGTATGTTTTTATTACTCTGCTTTCCTTTATTGCTTTCTTTTGCATTATGTGAATATTTTAATTCCTCTAATGATTTTTTTTTACCATTAAAAAAATTATTTTCTTAGTGGATACTCTAGGGTTTATATAAGTTACTCCTAGTTAGCTCTATTTCTTCTTCCTCTTTTGTGCTATTACTGTTTTTTCTTTTCTTTCTTTTTTTTTTTTTTTTTTGCTATCATTATACATGCTATAGATATACAGAGTGGCCATAAAGTTCGTGTGCACACTATTTTAAATTGCACATGAAGTTTGTGGCCACCCTGTACATGTTAACAAACCTAACAGTGTTATAATTCCTACTCTGCATAATTTTATGCCTTTTAAAGAAGCCAAAAGAAGAATGGAGAGTATGTATATTTTTATAGTTTGTTATATAATATTAACCTTATTTACCATTTCAGGTTGTCTTCATTTGCTTCTCTATATTCAAGTGGCTTTTTGGTGTTATTTCCTTCAGTACAACTTTGCTCACATTCTACTCAAATTCTTTGTGCTGATATTGTCAAATGAATGACATTCCTAAATGTTATAGATACAGTAATGCATATTATATACATATTTTATACAATTGTTTTTAAATAATATAGAGATAATGCATTTATATGGTCTTTTATAACTATGTAGTTACCTTTACCAGAGCTCTTTAGTTTATTTTCTTCATGTGAATTTAAATTACTTTCCAGGGCCAGGCACTTTCAGCCTGAATAGCTTCCTTTGCTATTTCTTGTGTAGCAGTTCTGCTAGCAACACAACTTTTCAGTTTTTATCTTAGAATGTCTTTATCTGCCTTCATCTTGAAAGATAGTTTCACTGTTAGATACGTGGTTGACACTTTTTTTGTTTGTTTTAGCACCTATAATGTCATCCCACTGCCTTCTTGCTGTTCTGATGAACAATCTGCTGTAATCTTTTAGAAGTCCCTTGTGCACCCTTCTGGCTGCCCAATACAACTACAAGGACCTTACCTAACAAACATAAACATGTAACTTAATAATTTGTACTCTCATATTAATCTGAAATTAAAAATAAATAAAACTAATATACACACACAAAAAAGAAGTTCCCTGTTGAATGCTGAGTTTTTCTCTTGCTGTTTTCGAGATTTGTCTTTGGCTTTTAACATGTCTTATACTGTATGTCTTGGTGTGGATCTCTTTGTATTTATCCTACGTGGAGTTTGTTGAACTTCTTGGATATATAGTTTGTTGTAACTAAATTTGGGGAGTTTTTAGCCATTATTTCTTCAAATCTTTTTTCAACTCCTTTCCTTTACTTCTGTGGGAAAATATATTTCCTCCTTTGCTCCTGTTATGCATATGTTGGTGTGTTTAATGGTGCTCCATTTTTCTCTAGAATTATTCATACTTCATTCTTCTTTCTCTGTTTTACAAATAGAGATTGCGTATTCTCTATTCAAGTTTGCTGATTCTTCTGCCAATTCATATCTACTGTTTAGCTCCTTTAATGAATATTTTGTTTTCATTATTGTACTTCTCAACTCTAGAATTTCTATTTTAAAAAATAATTTCTGTGTCTGATGAAGTTCTCTGTTTGAGGCATTGCTTCCTTTTATTTTCTGAACACATTTGTAATAGTTGCTTTAAAGTCTTTACCTGCTAAGTTTGATATTTGGGCTCTCTCAAAGGCAATTTCTGTTGCCTGCCCCCATCCCCATGTCCTGTGTATGGGTCATACTTTCCTGTCTCTTTGCACATCTCATTATTTTTTTGTTAAAAGCCAGACATTTTAGATAACATATTTTAGCAACTGAGGACACTGATCCCACTCCCAAATTCCCCCCACTCCCAAGTT